ATTGCACACAGGCTAATGTAAAAAAAGGTTGTACAGTAACTGAGGCCTTTGTTCTTTGAATCAACATTGTGACTTTAGTTTTGTTTTATTTATTTATTTTTTTTCAGGCGGTTTGTGGGCGCTGTCCACCCTCAGAGGAATGCACAAACGTTAGACCCGGCATTCATTTAATAACTGCCAGGCCTGTTTTAAAAACCAAACAAGCCAGCATTCATTTGTAATGACAGAGGAATGCGAGTACGTTAAGAAAAAGGGGGAACGAATGTATCCATTTCGTCGCAGCGCCTTGCAACAGGAAGTCACCTGTTCCATGAGGTGATACTCGGAGCAGTGGAGGAACACACGGTGTARGGCAGCAGGCGGTGGAAGAGCAGGATTTTCCTAAATCCTCTGCAAGTCCGGGCTCGCCGTGAACACCTGTGGTCTACAGTGACAATGACAATTTTGCAAAGAATGCTGCGTCTAATAGCAGAGTTTAATTAGGCAAAGACTGTGGGCGTGATGCTCCCTGTGTCAACTATGGGCTTCCCTCCAGGATTTTTTGGTTTCGATGACTTTGAGCGTTTTGATGTCAAGAAACACAGGCGAGACAATAACATCAGGACACAATGTTATTGGCGTAGAATGAGGAGGAAGTAGGAATCATTCAGTTAGGTCCTGCAGGGATTTCATTACTTTCTTTTACGAGAACAGGAGGATGGATGAGATTCAACTGATGACAGCTTTTAGAAGGAAGAAATTCAATTATTATATCCGACTTCTTTCAGGAACAGATCCAGGGTTTAATTTAGGAGATTCATCTTGTCTGTGTTATGTGAGAAGTATTCTTTAAACTCAGAGTTATTACCCCTCCCCTTCAGACAATCCAATCACAACAGCCTGCTGTCTGTTTGGATCACATCTTTTAGCTGGAAGGTTGAACGTTGTGTTCCTTTACCGCCCCCGGCGCTTTACAGTAAATTAATTTCCTCCATTCGGTTGCTTTGGATTAAAGATAAATGACAGAATATAAATAAATAAATAAATAAATATAAATAAAGCTGCATTCCARACTGATTGTTGAAAGAAAGAACAGATGTTACATCCCTGCTTAAGCTTATGGACATTTCAGGTATTTAGTTTCTCATTTGACCATGTGTGCATCAGAGAGTTTCAGTATAGTTTCCATATARAGGCTTGGGATTTTATTGTTATGGAGCCTTGAGATGATTTGAATAAATGAACATAAGTTCAATTGTTCTGAGAGACAAAGAAAKCGTGGTGACAAATAGAAAAACACAWGAGTTCTGGGCCTTACTCAAGAGTCGCCACAAGACTTTAAACCAAACGCTCACAACCTAGACCCTGAATCAGTTTTATGTTTCAAACTGTATCTAATATGCTGAGGTCGAACATTTTAACCACACACACAAAGAGGCGACGTGCTCAGATTAAKTCACAGCCGTGACCTTTGACAGGAGAGCTGGACTGTGGATGGAGGAGAAGAAGTGTTCATTCAGGATGCAGAGTCCATCAGGAGTCAGGAGTCAGGAGAGGACAGTCCATCCCAGACCAGAAACCACACCTGGACCAAGAAATCACCAACCTGCACCTGAGTTACGCAAACCAAACGGCCTCCGTGTACTGAACTCTCTGTAGTAGCTCATCTCACAACGAAGGCATGAAAAAAAGAGCAATAATTAATGAACRATGTTTATTTTATGATTCGTTGAACACTGTCAAGTTTCAGTAGTTATGAAATAACCACCATGTCTAAACAGTTTGCTCTGTTAGTATGGAAACACCTTTTTGTCYTCCTCTCCTCTCCCAGTTTCTTTTATTAATAATGAATGACTGTCTCCTGTTGATGGAAGTGAAACCAGAACAATGATGTTTTGCTAAAGTCTGTGTTTGACAMTGTGTTGGATTGGTTGTACCATCCACTCAGAAAAACAAATGTAGTGGATTTAATTTTAAAAAAAA